CTGTTACATTCCTGTAACACGTTGTTGCTAGGGTTTGAAAGGAGTTCACCCACAGCCATGAAAAGCTGAACTCATACCAGCAGGCCTTGCCCAGCACCTGGCATTTTCCTTCGATGCTTTTCACTCCTCTGCTGTCTCGGGTGCCATCTCTGCAGCCACCCCTGCGGTACTCACCCCAGGGCTGGCAGCACCAGAGGAACAGCCATACAGAACGGGAATGACAAAAGGGCAAGACACAGGGCAAGTCTGTGCTACAAAACACAGGGCAATGCAGAGACAATCAAGCTAAACTCTGAGCAAGATAGTTAAATGAGTATGAAGAGAACTCAAGTCACAACAGCAGACAGTTCACTGTGGGCTAATTTGCCCTACCTTCATGGTGGGCCAAATGTATGCTTATGAATATTAACTCTTGAAACTAGATCAGGAATGTAAACAGGGGACAGAACATTTTCATGGCCTGCTGTTCTCCTTTCCTTGCTCCCAGCATCGTACAGTATATACCACAACACAGCTGCACAGCAAAAGAAAGCAGGATAATTTTCATGTGCTATATACAATACATTCACAATTTCAGTCTGGAGACTGCCTACTTGTTTAATGCATACACACTCCCAGGGAGGTGGGCAGCTCTGCAGATAGGTCACTGGAGTCAGAAAAAGAGAGCTTGATTCCTGATACTGGGAACATTTTGAAGTCACTTCATCCTGCTTCCTCCCCCACATTTCTTCTGCCTTATCTCATTATATATGCAATGTTTCTAATCCACTCACTGTCAATTTCTTCTTCAGTACCTGAATGTATAAATGTAAATTCACCAAATTAAAACTGAAATTAAAGGGAGCGGTTCCAATATACCGTGCCACTGAGAGATGGACTTTCTTTAGAACTTGTCTCTGCATGGCAGTTTTGGAGCTTTAAGTCTCAGTATGTCACTATACTGATGTGAGTGAATACAGAATGACTAGCAAATATCTTTTGCATACTATGTAAGAAAGACTCATCAGACCAGAATCAACATCTCTTGCCTTATCTGCAGTTATAACCTACATACCACATCACCAATCCAGCTACCTGCTTCCTATGTCTGTGCAGGTCTAAGTGAGCAGGTAAACAAGATTACGTTTGGTTTAAATCAGTAGCTAATTCTAGTCCAGAAACCATGTAGCTATGCTAGTGTGCTGCTGTGCTCTGATTAACATGTGTCTTGCTGGTGGCTTAGGCACAACATCATAATGAAACTGGATGCCTTCCACCTTAGAAGTGACTCACATCTGGCCAGCCCAGGAAATGAGCAGGACTGCCTCCACCTCTATGCATACACAAATTCTCTCCGTTGATTTTCAATAAAGTATTGGTACTGTGCAAGATGTGAAAAGCGGGCAATTTGTTTCAAATTATTAAAAGGTCCCTGAGTGCAGGACTCTGAGATATGTATTTCAGAAAGCCTCAAATGCACTAAAAAAAAAAAAAAATAATAAAAAAAATAATATGACAGTCGTAATCAGAACCTGCAGTGTGAACCCCATAAGAAGAAATCAGAGGCATTCCTCTTACGCCTTCACTTCACTTTCATCTACCTTAATACCTACCCCCCTGCCAGTTGAATTCCCCTAGTGCTAGTTTTGGCTGGGACAGCATTAATTTTCTTCATAGTACCTGGTATGGGGCTAAGCTTTGGATTTCACTAAAAATAGTCTTGATAATACAGAATCATGCTCACCATACATAGCTGGGGAAAGGAGGAAGGGGAGGGAGCCTTTGGAGTTATGGTATTTTCCCAAGTAAAACGTGATGGAGCTCTGTTTTCCCAGAGACAGATGAACACCTGCCTGCCAATGGGAAGTAGCAAGTGAATGTCGTGTTTTGGTTGTGCTTCACTAACTAAACTGTCTTTATCTCAACCAATGTGTTTTCTCACTTTTATTTTTCTGATTCTCTCCCCCATCCCACTGTGGAGGGAGTGAGTGAGCGGCTGTGTGGTCCTCAGTTGCCAGCTGGAGTTAAAACACAAGTCCTTTTTTGGCACTCAACATGGGCCTCAAAGGGTTTGAGGTAATAAGAGATTTGATTGGAATGTGCTGGATCAAATTCATAGCTGTTATTGCTGTTTAGGTATTATTGGACAGGCTCTTGTGCTTGCTATGGAGCTTATTTGCCTCACACTGCCCCAGTCAAAACCAGCACAGTGTGCCTGCTGAAGCTTGGTACTTTTAACTTGGAAAATAAAAAAAGCCACACCCAGAACTATCAAACAATTATTTAGTTTCCTGAAATAAAGGAAGTGGCTCAGAAGTGGGTGAAAGCTGTCAAATTGCTAATATTTCTGTGGAGAGCTGGGGAGGAAGATGAATTAATGATCTAATGGAAAAAAATACTGTTTGTCCTGCAAGCATTACTCTTTCTTTTTTCCTAAATGGAGGCAAGAAGGTTTTAATGAGTTCAGGTGTTGTTGCGTTTTTTTCTGGGAGGTGGGCAGGGTCTTGGGTTGGTTTTCTTTGGTGTTGGGTTGGGTTTTTTTTAATTGAGTTCTTTAGAGGTGGGGTTTTTTCATTTGGGTTGTTTGGGGGTTTGTTGGATTGTTTTTATAGACAGGCATAGATGTGTTGTATCAGGTATGTCGGGATAAGTTTTTTAATTGGGAGATCAGCTCAGATATTAGAAAGCATTCTGTTATCAATCTTATACTAAAGATTTTAAGAAGTGCATATTTGACAACTGAAGATTTATTAAAGCTAGCTATTCCATGTATGTAGAGATGAAAGACTTAACAAACAGTACACAAAACATCGATGAATTTAATGGGATGTCTCAGCAATGCAAATATTTAGAAGGACAGGCAGAACTCCAAATTTCATATTTACTGGTACCATATATTGGTATGTATAGGTACATCCACAAAAAATATTACTTCTGTATTTCTTACCAGGATAATCAGCTGGACACATGCCTTTTACTTGGGAGATTTACGTAGTGAACAGGCCTGTGTGCAGGCTCTAGATATTCCTAACTTTTCTGTTGTTGCTTAAATTTAGTTTGATGCTGTGAAAAGTGGTTTGGTGGTTACAGGAAATCAGAGATGTTTTATAGGATGTCTGTGCATGTGGTAGATGCCAGGCACTCTTAAAATTTCTCCTGCTAGGTCCTCAAAATCGCTAGGTACAATAGGCTGTTGAAGAATAATAATAACAGCAATAACTAAAGTCCCAAAGCTCACCCAACACTTACTAACAAGCGCCTGAAAATTGTTCTTGCCATAAAACCACAGCACCTTTTCCAAATGCTGCTCCACAATTAACAAACCCCTCCCTAGAAGACCAGTAACCTATAGCTATGAGGCAGAGTAATCTACACTGCAAAGATGAAATATAAAGGTTCTGGCACCCTGACAGGAGAATCAATCTCTGTGCCAAAATACATGGTGAAAACAAGGGTGTGAAATTGAGTACTTGATACTACAGTGTGAAACAGTTTATTGCTTTAACCATGCTAGACAAGAGTTAAAATGTTAATTCTTTGAGGCTCTTCAGTTTAGTAGAAGCATATAGAGAGGAACTGGCTAAAGCTAAATCACTGTGTGCGGACGGAGAAAATAACTATTACTTGGAATAAAATACTGCTACCCCTCTGTCTTTCGGCCCTCTCTGTTAGCTAACACATCAACTGACTGTGGAGTTGGCTAAGAGAGCAGACAGTAACCTGCCCTTTCTGGAGAACAGGGAGCAGTGGGAAGTCTCAGAAAGACTGATAAAATGGAAAGTAGGACGGCAGATTAAAAAAAGAAGGAAAAAAATTAAAGGAAAAAAATGAGGGCAGGAAAAGCAAGGGATTTTTTTCTTTTCCTCTACAGTACAGCATTCGCTTGTTTTCTTACAGTATCCAACAGCTACCAACCAGATTTACTCAGTGCTGCCTCTCTTCAGAGACTTGGAGGACAAGAGAACTAATGCTTGTGCTTCAAATATTCTTCTTAGCTGGTTATCAAATAAAGACAGACCATTTTCTTGCTTACATCAGTATAAACCTGGAGTTACTATAGTGACGTGATGATAGAAGCACTCATAAATTCAATTTATGTAAAAAAAGGTTTCAGCCCTGCATATAATCTGCTGGCATTTCAGAATATATGTTTAAAGCCACTTTTTAGGGTGAACATTACTTTAGAGAAAAGCTTTTGTGTCTGCCTCAACTATCCCAAATTATATTCACTACCAAAACTGATGAAAGGTACATATACATAGAATGCTGCATGTTCTAAAAAAAAGATTTTCTTAAATGTAATCCTTTTTTGTCTTTATATAAAGTGTTACCTCAAAATTAATTGCTTTTCTTGCTACTCACGTTATCTGTTACGCCTAACATGTTTTGCAAGATCAACCTCTTCAGCTCTATCAGAAAGAGTGACAAATTCACCTGCAGTGAGGTAACTGAGCAGACAATTAAAAACTTTGAAGGCTCTTTAAGAAGTGGATTTTATAAAATAGATAAATTTATTTTGAAAAAATAATAAAAACCCCAACTATAGAGATTAATTTACAATGTTTAGATTTTTTTTACTAACCCCACTTCAGTAAATATCAAAATTTGAGGAACTGTAACCAGATTCTGAGATCAGGGAGTGGCTAAAATGGAAGGGAAGATTTTATTCTTAAAGATTTAAACACTGAAAACAAAGTACTGCATCATGAGGTCAAACCAAACATAAAGACTGTATTGAACAGGTTCCTAAGTGATCTATATGTATTCTTTTTCAAATACAACTACAAATCTTTTTCTTTCTAAATGGTTCGTATAGCTCTCATGTATGACCACGCGGAAGGCATTTTAGCCTTGTACATTATGCGTCAATCTTCTGAGTTCTGACACCGTTGCATACAATTGCATTCTAGTTTCTGAAAAATTTTGCTATTCCTCCACTTTGCAAAGCTTTCATTTGTTTTACTTCTACAGAGGACATTCAGAGATCAAAAGGTGAGAAAGAAATATTAATTTCTACCTACCTTTGACAAAAGCATCCTGTCTCAGAAATGCAACACCAAATGCTAAGAGTTTAAGCCACAAAAACATGGTTATTTCTGGAAATCAGGCGTATCCTTATGAAACAGCATGTGTGTCTCTCTGGAAAGCAAAATAAGTGTTATCTGTCTGCAAAAGAATTTCTCTGCAAAACTTGAACCAAAAAGGAGAATAAACTAGGCACCTACACTGCACTGCCTGCTTATCTGTGAAGGAGTTGCTTCCTCTGTTACCCCGAACTAACCACTCACAAACTCACTATGCAGTTTAGTGATGTCAGAGACAATTACTTCTTCAAAAAAAAAAAAAAAATTCTTTTAGTTCCAGGAAGTCAAGAGGGTTTTTCTTAAGTTGCTGCAGTAATGCTCAGCTTCCTTAATTCAAAAAAACACAGGGTTTTTTCAGCTTTTTCTTTCTACTGAGGAGCTAAACAAGATTTGGCAAAGATCTGGATTTAAAAACAGTCTTTGTATTCACTTTTTTATTACACATGTTCACTGAGCACCTATGTTTTGGAAGCTAACTAATGTTCTATGTTATGGATGCTTCTTAAGATTTCTGTTGAGAGAAAGAGAAACCCAAACCGTCGGTCAACAAAATCCTTACACTAGCAACAAGGCCTTCATAAAAAGATACATCATCGAGTGAAGTGACTGCTGATTCAATGAAACCCCTCTAAATATGGGATATGTTTCTGAATCTTTCTGCAAGGATGCATGCAAACCTACGTGTAAGAGTAATACACAACAAACGGATAGAGGCAGTTTAGTCCCATTTACTGTAATGTTCAGTTCCTAATTAGATAGCTCAGTGCAATTCTTTACCATGATAGTGTCAGAAGATTGTGGTCCCTTTTCTGGAGTCAACGAAAGGTACACCAAAGACATTTTCTCTCACTGCATGACCTGAGATGATACTCAACAACTTGATGATGCCTGTCTGTTGTACAGTGTATTACAAATGGAATAAACATTTGGATTGTCTCTCATATTGGAGGTTTCAAAGATTTTAAAAGAACAAGTAGAATCCTGCCACAAGACAAACAAAGGGGAAGAGAATATACTTGTGCTTATTCTTCATATCATAAGTCCTTCCTAAAAGGAAGAATTCCTAAGCATCACATAGGAAAACATTGAACAAATTCACATAATAATTCACAGATGACATAAGAGAATCAATCTCCTCATAAGATTAAACCCAGCTTTCTACACATGCAACTTTGAGTCAAGCCTTACAACACAGGCCAAAATCTTAGCTTATCTTTCTAAGCAATATGTATCTATGCAAAATAGCTGTAATAATAATTATGCTGTAAATGTGCTCAAAACAAAACTGTCATAGAGATACCACCCTGACGCTCCAGAGACCCCAACTTTCATATACAATAATTTCATCATCCTGGAGTTGTCACAAATTGAATTTGGACTGTAGCCATAAATTTTCTGCAGCACTGACATCTTAGTCCCTGTTACCCTATGCAAAACCAGGATAACAGAAGGGCTGAAGTGTGCCATCTGTTGAATAGCTTGCAACACTTATCCTGTGGAGAATTTCACTTAAAGGCTCTCAACAAGAACCAAGCTCCAACAAGAATCAGGAGCCATTTCCACCTGATCTTCCCCAGTCCTCAAAACTGCTGTGGACCTGGCCTAAGAAGGAGGAGGAAATATATATGTTTCAAAAAACACTTTCTTAAGATTCCTCCCCCAGTAATGACCCTTTGAAAGCAGGTAATTATCAACTACATACATAAAGCTGAAATTTACACAAAAGAAAGTTCAGATTCAAGCAAAAAGCACAGAATGAAAGGGAATTAGTGTACTCTGCTAGCATTTGCATTAGATCATACGTCACAGGATATAAAGCTGTGTATACGGCAGGCCTTCAGAATCTCAGCTCTACTGGTTAATGAAGGAGGGCAGTTTAGTTCCTCTCAGCCACAGGGAAGGTCAGAAAGCAGTTGTTACAGACTTGCTGAGTGGAAAACATGCTCCATAAAAGCAGTTGGACAAGAAAGAGAAGACTGTTTAAAGGGGAAATTCCTACAGTGCACTCTACACATCATTTTTGCCTGATGCTTTATGAGAGATAGTGCAGAAGGATGAGCTCAGTTTTGGGGTTTATCCTTCAGAAGAAGACTGCAGTTTATGTTTGGAAGAAGACTTTGTGTGTTCTAATAGCCTTAAAAACATTCATGATTAATTCTGGGTAAGCCATAAATAGGAAATGATATATGGGGTGTAAATACACTGGTCTTACCATAATCTATTGATTTATCAAAAGCTGCAGACTGAACCTCCACTTCTCGAGGAGTGGGAGGGAATTAATTCATTCTATTGCAGATTAAGCAATGGGCTTTTAAAATAAACCCTTTTTCAGGACACAGCCTTAATCTTTCATCAACCAAATAATTATGTCAGTGCTAACTATAGTGGTATATCTCCCCTGTGCTGGAAAGAAGCAAAACCAGAACCAGCAATTTGTACTGTTAAGGATTTCTAAAATGGCATTAGAAAAAAGTGTAAATACTTAAATTATCCATCTCTTTGGAAGTCTCACTCTTTTGTAAGTTATGAAAAGAGCTAAAACACCCCAAACCAAGAAGCAAAACAAAACAAAACAAAAAAGCAACCCACCTGCAAGAAGGTTAAATCTTGTTCCATTTAACTATCTTGCAATACAGTCATTTGTTAAATTACCATAAATGTCTCCATATTCTGTGTAGTTAAATTCCAGCTCAAAGGGTAATTATATCACAACTGCAATAAAATTTAAAAAATACGAAGTGCAAATAACAATCAGTTTCCCTCTCAATTTACGTGTGAAGCCATTGGAAGATATCACAAATATATGCCTCCTGCTTCATACCAAAACTTTGCATATATCAGTATGAAGCAATTCAAACAATTTTACTCAAAAATACACTGAAATAATAATAGAAAATAGATTAATATTATATAGATTTAAAGTGGTTTAAGACATAGATGTTTGTTATATGGCACTAATTATCCCATTTGAAAATACTTCTCTGCTGAAGCTATTATATATTTGCAGATAAATTAACCACCCAGATCTAGTTTAAAACTTTAAAACAAAGAAAATGGAAAGGCAAGCAACATATGAAACAAACTCACAAGAACTAACAGAAACATAAAACAAGTTGCATTTCAGAACCAGTAATCTAGCTAATATTTTACAGGGATATATGCAGGCTATACTCTGCTTCAGCACCTAAAATACATCACAACTGGCTTTGATTGACAGTTGCCAAAACCAGCTTGGCTTTACTGTGAGAGTGAAATTAAGTCACAAAGAAATATACTATTAGAGTCTGTATATTCAGATACTCTGTCCTTGCAATAGATTTCTGAAACAGATGATATAAGGAGGGAGAAAAATCAAATTATTCTATGGAAAGATGCAATGAAAATTCTGGTTTTTATTTGCATTGATTTACATGACACATATGTTCCACGTGACATATGCTGCTAATGACACCACAGCATTAGAGCAAGGAGTTGTGATCCCCAAAACAATACACACACCTATCCTCCTGCACAGCCTCTCATAACATCAGGCAAAAATGTTGCAGTTACTCAGTGACTGACAGTGTAAAAACTCTGCCCAGATCACAAACAATCTTGGAGCTTGCTGAGAGAGACCAGGACCTCTGATAGCCTCCACAATCACTACCACCTTCATTTCTACCAGGAGGTGTGTCTGTGGCTTGGTTTTGTAAGTTGTGCTGCACAAAGGCATCAGATTATAGAGTGCGCTGGGCATGTCATGATCCTCAAACACTACTACACAAAGCATGTCACGTTTTTATTTCTGAAGGCAGTTAGCAGTGGACCTGCTTGGCCAGGTCTTATGACACTGCGTAGGCAAAAGCAGAGCAGAGGAAGAGAAAATTCAGCTGAACATGCTTGATTCTGTGGTCAAGATTTCCTTTTGCAGAGTATTTCACCAACTTTCAAACAAAACCAAATGGACAGCCTGGGCTGTACTTACTCTTGCAGGAGCTCACAGGGAATGAAATCACCCATGAAGGTAATTGCATTTAAGTGGGAAACCTGCAAAAAGGGGCCACAGCCTTTTCAATACATCTAAGGGGAAGGAAGTGCAACAGCTGGAGTGTAAAAAGGTACCCACACAGGCTAGATAAACATAAGCACTTCCCCATAGCTACCTGCTCTACAATAGCTTTACTAAGAGGCAGTTTAGGGTGCGTGGCATCTTGCCTTTTTCAGTACAGACTCCTGTCTTCTTTCCTCTCTCCAAGCAACAATGACATCTGTGTCTGCCTAAGGCAAGGGGGAGGAAGGAGCACACATGACACCTCTGCCCCAGAACAACTCCATCATATGCTAATGAAGCTAAAAAAAATCCCTACTGTTCTTTGGGGAGAAGCCAAGGAGTTGGTTCCTATTTCAGAGAAGGGCAGAGAAAATTGGAGAATAGCCATAAAACCATCTGCCCTAGAGGCTGAGAAAGCATGGACTCTTCATCCTTACGAGCAACTCTGACACTCACCTTTTGTACCCCAGAGTGTTCCCTCTCTCTGCCTAGAACCACAGGAGTAGGAAGGAACAGACTGGAAAGATGAGGGAAAGGCAAGTGTAGCAGTAACCAGGGTATGCGCAGTAGTTTCATACAGCCACAAGCCAAATAAATGCATCCCAGCTTGGATTGTTGTGAATTGCCCCAAAAAGATTGGGCATCTGTCCTCAGGTATCAAACAACAGCCATGCTTACCCTGCACACTAACTCTTACTGGGCCTGTGCCACCCAAAACCTATCATTCCACTGTGTTCAATGCCATAGGAGCTGTTACTGAAAGTTGTCAATTTCATATGATTTCCACTACGAATACAGCCTGCATATATCCCTGTAAAATATTTATGCTCAGTTCCACCCTGTGTTCATTCCCCAAAGAGTTTAGTCAAATAACAATAGGGCACTCATACTCCTTATCCAACACAACTTCCAACTCCAGATTTTCAAAGTCAATATGGTGTCACTTTGGCATTTATCACAAAGAATTTTAACTGGACTGCACTCTGGGGGAGGAAAGAGGGGTTGTTTGGCTGGGTTTATTTGTTGTTGGTTTTGTCTTTAAATTCAGACAATGGTGTTCTCCACCAGTACTTAAACTTCATGATGTTTTATTTTAACGTGCTTACAAAACGTTGTATAGATTAGTTTTCTCAAGAAATGTATTCTTGAAAATTAATCTTTGGTCTCTTCTTGTCCAGGGGACTTGAAAGAACAAAGTATCAGAGCATGAAATAAAAAAAAAAAAAAAAAAA